TTTTTCCAAAACCATTTCCATCATCATTTCCAAACCGTTAGTGAACCCGTCCCATGGCAACTCCATGGCAGCACGAGAGGAGGATTAACCACTGTCCCTGACCCATGGCAACTCCATGGCATCATTTGGGGCCCAGGTAACACAACCACATTAGGGCGATTTCCCTACTCCCCTCTAGACCTCACTAACGCAGCGATCCTTAGGCAACTCCTAGGCGGCCGGGTTTTTCATAAAATCCTTTTCAAAATTCATTCCCAAAAATCCATATCATTTCTTTCAAATCAATTTTTCCCATTCTTTCCCAATGATATACATGAATGTCACATGCTTCACAATATTATAATACCATATCATTACTCACATCAGAATCATATTCTATGGACACACTTTAGCAGCAAATTTATCATGGCAGCATGTTTCAAGGACAATATATTATTCAGTTTGAACACTAATACAACACCAAACTTATAACAAAACAGCCCATAATTGAAGTAAACTAAATATATAATTTCTAACTTGTAAAACAATAACAATACAACCATTGTGATTACTAGAATTTCAGTTTTAGGCACATAAACACCAACAACATTTTAAGAGCTCAAATTCCATATCTAAAACACATAACACATCATTTCTGTCTAAACTACAAAATTTCAGATTTTTATTACACAACATGCTTATAAAGAAAGCCTAATTCAAGTCATATAATGGTTCAATTTAAAAGATTTAGTTCACAAGGAAATAAAGGGTGTGAGGGTTAAAACAACTCCTACTAGTTGTTAACAATTCATACGCAGCTTGTTACCTCCATTTTTGAAAATTCATAATAATTTCAATTCTATGTCAAATTGAGTGATTCCAAAGCCTAATGAAAGCTTAAACACGGTAATTTGAAAGTATCAATATAGTTTACAAAACCCCTTCCCAATTGGAACAGTTTTGACCCATAAATTCGAAATAAATGCTGCCCAGAAAACAGATTTCCAGCCTGTTGCTTCCAACTTTGAAAAATCATAAAAAAATTCAATTATCATCCAAATTGAGTGAATCTAAAGCCCATTGAAAGTTTAAAGACTATATTTTCAAGATAAAATCTTACTTCACCAAAATTCCTTACCATTTAAATCAAGTTTGATGAGAAAAACTCGAAAAAAATCTGCCCCAACCCAGAATTTCCAGCAAGAACACTATAACTTCAAAAATTCGTAATAAATTCATTTCTCAACCAATTTAAATGAAACCAATTCTCAATGAAAGATAATTAACTATATTATCATAATATCAAATCATCTCTAAAAGATAAATTACGAATTTACATGAAATTGAGCAAAACAGTAGCATGTAATTTCAGCCAAACAGTTTCAGCAACACAGAATTTCAGTTTTGTTTGTATACACTTTGCAACTCAAAATTGAAAGAGATTAACTCACTAAAGGCAAAGGAATTATGGGTTAGACAATCCTACCTCAAGTGAGTTCAAACCCTAGGAACAAACACCTCCAAGCTATCCCAAGGATAGATCGAACCCACCAACAAGATGATGAAAATGAATAACTCTCCATTGAAGAACAAGTAAGATCTTCCTCTTTTCAAGGCACTTTCTGAAACCCATGGATTAAGGAATGACCACGTATACTATATCAATGGAAACCTCATTCCCTCTAGGTCATTTTTCATTCACACCTCAACATCAAACTCTCACTACAAGTCTCTCTAAATGGTGCTTCAAAAACCCCTCTAATGGAGGACGAACTTGGTTAAAGAAAGAAGAAAATGGAATTAACATGAGGAACCCATCAGCTGAAGCTCTCTTCTACGCGAGGAGTCATACAAATTGTGGCTAGAAACTTGCTAAGTGCATACTTAAGTGTCAAACTCACAAAGGGTCAAAAGGTGGACCAAAAAAATAACCAAAATGCCCCCACCTCTTCACTTAACCACCAAAATGCCATTACAACCTCAAATGACCATTCCACCCTCATGAATAAAATAAATGACATCCAAGATAATTATTTTTCAATTAAGAAAATAATTCAAAATCCAAAAATTCCGGCGTAGGACCCACATGAGTCGCTCGGCCTGAAAATTCATAAACTGTCCAAACGGTTCAACTAGCATATCCATACTTCCCAAACTCCATGAAACACTCCAAATCACTATAAAACCTTCGTGACGTGCAATCCTAAACATGGCACGTAACCTGAGGTAATAAAATAATCACTTATGCCAAAACGAGAAATGCCCGGGAAAAAATTAAAAAAGTGATGGACATCACATGTCTGATCTATCTGCTACTCTTCTACAAATATCAAGTGTAAGCCTGAGGTCAAGTTGCTGTTAGACGGGGAGTCGCAAAGCCAAAGGATCGTCAGCGGTTGGTGTGGTGTAAAACGATAGGTTGTGAGTCAGAGTCAAAGTTCGGTATACTTTGTTTCAAGTATAGTGGATTGGTTTACTTTGGATTGCACAACTCCACGAGGTTTTTCCTATAACAGTTGACATATTTTATCAACTGGGGTTTCCTTGCTAAAATCATGGTATCATCTCTAACTTTATACTTTGCTTTATTTTATCTGCATGTGATTAACTGTTTAATTACTAAAATAAATAAAGTTGGTAACGACACATATCTGTTTTACAAAACCTAAAACTTTCCTATATACATTCTGCTGCGTACAACTCACATGGTCATTGTTTCTGGTTTAACTCATCTTTTTTATTATGAAAGAGGATCGGGTCTGTCGCAAGAGGTCAATTCTACAGAAAGCCAGTTATCTGCTCCATTAAAGAGTGCCAAAAGAAGATCAGTTAAGGGGGGTCCTATTTACCATCAAGAGCGAACAGAGAGGAAGAGTTTGTCAGCCAGATTGCGAAACTCATCGAACTTACCTAGTTCCGAGCACGTCACGCGCTCCTGCAAGAAGTTTGTAGGCCGGATTGCGAAGCTCGTCGTCACGTACGCTCCCCTTTTGTTGCTCCACGAACGGCGACACCAGAGTGAACAGAGAGGAGTGGCTTGGCTGGATCGCGAAGCTCGTCGAACTTACCAGGCTCAAAGCGCGTCACGTCTCGTCCTTCTTGGTCGTCGTCGTCGGTGGGTTCTTCAGTGTTCTTTGTTGCTACTCCACGAACGGCAACACCAGAGGAAGAGTTTGTCCTGCCACAAGATCAACATGCAAGAGAAAGGGCATTGCAAGATGCAGAATATTTTGCCAAATGATGGTAGGCAATAGATGACCACTGCATTATGTAATCCATGCCTGCCATCTCTATATTCCATAAGTCCAAAAGTATGCGCATGATCTGATAGTATGCCCATGTATTAGCTACTTTCATGAAGCTTTAACATCTAAAATTGTTTATTTTCTGCATCAAAATCCTGCCAACCTCACGTATTCAAAACATTGCTATGTCAAGAGTTAATTTAAATAAAAATCCAATTCTTTTTATTCCCTAATCTAGTATTAATAAGAATATGTTCTTATGGCAGGACAAACTCTTGAGGGGTAATTTGGTCCAAAAAATTACCTCAAAAAATCATTAAACATCAGTTAAAATACCCCCTCAAAATAGTTGAGGGGTGTTTTTTCCCAAAAAAAAAAAAAAAATTAAGAGAGTTATTTACAACTAATTAATAGTCAAGGGGAGGTTTTTTACAATTCGCCCTAAATTAATTGAAATGCATATTTCATTATTATCGCTAGCTTGAGGGGAGTGTTATGACTTTTACTTCTAAAGTTGAAGTCTCAATAAATTAAATAAGATAAAAAAAAGCATGGGTGAGTACTTAGTTGAAAAAAAAATAAAAAATTCCCAAGACCCAAAGTAGCCTATGAATTTTTTTAATTGTTAGATGGACATAGTTCAATAAAAATGTTATGCTTACCGCATAGATAGATAAAATCAAATCCCACAACACAATTTAATATGAAAAAATAATATGCATGACAATGTGGTCTTGTTTCCACAATACATATAAATCATAATTTCTGTGTGTTATGATGGTGTAAACTATTTCGAATTTAAGTTCTAAAAATGTTTTCTTTGTATAATAGTTTTTAAGTAAAATATTTTTATGTAAAATATATTTTTTTAGTTTTAATTTATGGGTAATAGTTCATAAACCATCTCTTTTTTTGAGTGTTCCTCGCTAACACAAATAGTACCCATAATTAATTCTCTTTTTTCAATGTTTCTGACCAATGCAGAATAGTACTTCCTAAACCATCTCCCCCTCTCTCCTTGTTACTTTCTCTCCCCTCTAAACAATCCTTCCCTTTATTCTCGCTAAACATCATTCCCTCTCCTTATCATTACTTTCTCTCTCCACTCTCTCTCATGTTCTCGACCCAAATCTATTCCTCGACCAACCCAAATTTGTCCATCTTCCTCTCTCCTATCTTACTCTCTCCTCTCACTCTTTATATACATATAGAGAGGAGACTGAAAATTATATTTTTAAATTGTTAGATGAACATAGGGGTTCAATAAGAATATGGATGGTGAAATGACTCAAGATAGCCTGTGAAAAATGACTTACGAAATTTTTTTTTTATAAATCATTTTCAATCTTTTAAAGTTAAAATGATTTGTATGAAAAATAATTTTCTAGCAGTCTTCAAAATACGAAAAAATGAAAAAAAATACAAAATCCTTAGTGGTGTTTCTTCTCCCTTTACTAAGAAAGATAAGAGGATTGTGTCTTCCAAGTACAGGGTAAGCGTTAATTGCGAGAGGGAAAAAAACAGACAAAAAACAAAAAAACAAAAACAAAAACAAAAATGAAAACAAAAAAATAAAAAAATAAAAAGGGCGAGACAAAAAACAGTTGAGTTGTCTCAGTCTTTGCTACGTTGGCCGTATCAAGGTTGACTTGTTAAATTGTGTGTTGAATTCTCAAAGTTAGTGAAGCCACAAATCCCAAGCAACCAAAATAACCATTCAATTCAAACCTTGACTAATAGACTTCTTCCGCCTTTTGTCTCCTTCTCCCAACCCCTTCCTCTCTCTATATATATAGACCATCAAACAACCCCAAATATCACTCATCAAAGCCTAAATCCATTCACCACACAAAAACATCGCAACCTGATCACACTAGATTCTCCTAAGCCTAACCCTTGAAAAGTTTCAATACGAAAAACTAATTAGCCACAACAAAAGTTAATTAAGCATACATGTCAACCCTTCAAGCATCAAGTGTGATGTCTTCATCCAGTTATCTTTCCTCATGTTGCCGGAGAGGGATGATCAGAGGGGCAATCAATGTACCAACACTCCGGACAACTCATCTCTCACTTCCCAACCTCTCCACCAGAGGCTTGGTGGAGGAATTGGAGTTGAGAAGTGGTTACACAAGTACAAACACTACCCACATTGAAAAGCATTCCAACTCTCCCAAAAATACAAGATTTGATACTAATGCTGCGGATCCTATGGTGATGGTTAAGCTTTACGAGATCATGGAGGCCGTTGCAGACAGAGTGGAGATGCATAAGAACATGGGAGAGCAGAGAAACAACTGGAACAGCCTACTTTTAACATCCATAAACGCAATTACACTTGGTGCTGCAACCATGGTTGGTATTGCAGCTTCAGGTGCTAATGTTGGTGCCCCTTTAATGGGACTCAAGCTGTCTTCTACTGTGTTGTATTTGGCAGCCACTGGGATGTTGTCCATCATGAACAAGATTCAACCTTCCCAACTTGTTGAAGAACAGCGAAACGCTGCAAGGTTGTTTAAGCAGCTCCAAAGCCAAATTCAGACAACCATGTCCACTGGCACACCCACAGTCGTTGATGTGAAGGACTTTATGGACAAAGTTTTGGCTCTTGACAAGGCCTTTCCACTTCCTCTACTAGGCGCGATGCTCGACAAATTCCCATCTACCATTGAACCTGCAGTGTGGTGGCCACAACAGCGACGAAGACAAGCAAAAGGGGTTGGTAGGAATGGATGGAATGGAGAATTGGATGAGGAAATGAGAGAAATAGTTGGGGTTTTGAAGAGGAAGGACAAAGCAGATTATTTGAGGTTGGGTGAGAAAGCCTTGAAACTTAACAGAGTATTAGCCATTTCTGGTCCTTTGCTGACAGGCGTAGCAGCTATTGGCTCTGCTTTTGTGGGATCTCCTTCTCATGGTTCATGGGCTGCGATGCTCGGTATTGTTGGTGGTGCTTTGGCAAGCATTGTGAACACATTAGAGCATGGTGGGCAAGTGGGAATGGTGTTTGAGATGTACCGGAGCAATGCCGGTTTCTTTGAGCTCATGGAAGAGTCTATTGAATCTAATTTGAGTGATAGAGAAGTTGGGAGGATAGAGAACGGGGAGTTGTTTGAAATGAAGGTGGCTTTGCAGCTGGGAAGGAGCTTATCAGAGCTAAAGGATCTAACTGCTTACTCAAGAAAGGGAGAGGTGACGGAAGAGTTCGCAAGCAAACTTTTCTGATACTCCAGTGGTTCATCTACAGTACTTGTGTTAAAAATTTTGTAGTACATTCTTGTGCTATCTAACACTAACAATTAATGTCTATAAATCAGCCCATAGAATAGGTAATTGGATTCATTCAATATTCAATGTATTGACATCTTATGAAAATTGAATTATTCCATTGTTTTAACTTGCCATTCAAACAATTCCAAAGGCAAACAACAGTGAGTATGGAGCTATATTATAAAAAATGTATATGTGGGAAAATTTTAGTTCTCATGCCCATTAAAGATGAGTCAGACATTGAGCAACAAATGTTGTATATAATAATCACAACTACTGTCATTTTAAAAATAAGAATAAGCTGTGATACGTAACCCCAACACTTCAACTAAAGAGAGAAGTGGTGGGCAAGTGTTAATGGTGTTTGCGATGTATCAGAGCAATGTCTGTTTCTTTAAGGTCATGGAAGAGTCTATTGAGTCATCAAATATTACTGAAAGATAATATAATTAAAACTGTCATTTTGAAAATGAGGTATGGTGATACACTCGCCCAACACTTCAACTGAAGTATTGGGCCGCCGAAAGAATGCGGATTATGTGATTTCTCTCATGGGGCCCAAAACTTCAATTGTAGTTGTAGACTTGTAGTGTTGGGCTGAATGTTTGCTCGTGGAATGGAACAACAAAACCTAAGATGTGAGAAGATTTGTAAACCCAATGATATTAATTAAATCATTGGAGTGTTTAATATGGTGGTTAACCAATAGTAACTGATAAGTTTTATAATTACGCATGCGTATGTAGATTGAATTTCTCCATCATTTTTCTTATCTTTTTCTATTAATACTTATTGTTACATACAAAATGTGCAAAAACCTTCTTGATATTTAAAAAAAAAAAATCTGTATTATTAAAATTTATCAAATAAAGATATTTTCTTAATTTGAAGATTGAAATAGTTAAAATACCTTTAAAATAAAATAAAATAATTCTCCCTAAAAAAGAAAAAATAAAAATATAATTTTAGATTTTTATTTATAAAATTGGTGAGAATTGACCAACACATATATTAAGAGCCATTTGCAAACAAAAATGTCAGGCACAATTTTCATACTAAACACTGGGAGTGTTTTGTTCACAATTTTTATAGTCTGGGAGTATTTTGTACACAATTTTTATTGTACTTTTCACTTTTTTAGGTTAATTTTATTGACACTCATTTAGGTTTGACTAAATATCACATTAAAACATTTTTAGAAAATAACTATCACTCACAGTTCAAATGTTTGTTCCGTTTTTTACTTACACTCTAAAAGTTACTTTTCAAATGTGTCAGATAACTTATTATATATAAAATGACAATACTACCCTTCTACTTATCTATTGATTTTAAAAAGTGTTGAAATGACTTGAATATTATTTAACCTTTATTATATAAATTTATAATTATTCTTTATATATATATATATGTATATATATATATATATATATATACCCACCTCCAATTTAAAATTATTCTTTATATATATATATATATATATATATATATATATATATATTTCTCATTATATATATATTTCGTATCAAAAACACCACCTGTTTTCTTTTCTTCACCTTTTCTATATCTTTTTCTTTTTCTTTTCTTTTCTTTTTTATTTTCTAATTTCTTTTTCTTCTTCATTACTGTCGGCAAAGAATTTTTCTTTTTTATTTTATTTTCTTTTCTTCTTATTCATTATTGTCGGCAAAGAAGAGGCGCGGGGAGGCCATTAATGGTTCCTCATCACCGGCTACCACTTTGTCGCCTCTTCTCTCTCAATGCCGGAACCATCAGAGTGTGTATTGATGTGCATATATATATGGACATGTAGTTTCACTGCAATTTTTGCACAATTTTGTTTTTCCTGGTCAAACCCAAGTATCAGATTTGAATTGGTCACATGTTGAAAAAGTTCAGTGCCTGCAGATTACCATAGACATTAGCCGGAGATAAAAAATAATAATTCCAACTAATTTCCAGGTCGTCGATAACAGCGACCATGGTCGCTGCACGGTGAAATTTATAGTGAGGGTAAAGGCATTTTAGACCTTTTAATTTTTTGATATTTTATAATAAAAGACATTAAAAAAAATTAATAGTAAAATTGTCTTTTCAAACATTTTTAACAGTGTCATTAATAGAAAAATTATTTGGAGTCTGAATAATAATAATTTTTGAACAATGTTTCTATATAATAATTGGTCAAACTTAAAGTGATGCCCGTGAAATTAATCCTTTGTTTATTTTATCCTAATAAAAGAAATTAAAAAAATCAGTAATTTGAGAAAGTAGATGTCCTGTAAACGAATAAACTAAAATTAAAGGACCAATAAGAAAATTTAGTCTTCTGAAGTTGGGAAGAAAAATGGACGCCCATTCAGTTTCTCTGTTAACACTTGCCAGTCTTTTCTTCTTCTTTTTCCCTGATCTTTCTACTCTAGCCCTCTCTTTAATTCCGCAAATCCCATCTTATGATAACAACTCAGACACTCCTCATCACTACCGTTAAAATTTCCAATCTATCATCGTAAACCTCTATGATCTGAATTCTCCGCCGCCGCCGTCAATATGATTCAACTTCTCTTCGCGTTGATAGTGGCCGAGATGGGTCTGATAATCATGTTCGTGTTCAAAACCCCCCTGAGGAAGCTGGTGATCATGACTTTGGATCGGCTGAAGCGCGGTCGTGGACCGATTGTTGTGAAGACCGTCGCTGGGACGGTGATCGTTGTGATGCTGTCGAGTGCTTACACAATGATGAATATCAAGAACCGTTGGATCGAGGATGGTGTCGTTAATCCGACGGATCAGGTTCTCATGGCCAAGCATCTTCTCGAAACCTCTCTTATGGGTACAAACAATTCTTCTATTTCTTACATTTATACACATATACGAAATATGTATGTATAATACATAGTATAAATTTGCATTTACATAGTATAATACATAGTATAAATTTGCATATGCGTAGTTCGTTCTGAATCTATAGTTGGGTAACAATGTATAATTGTTGCAATTTATAGGCATGTCGATGTTAATTTTGTGTGTATGGTTCAGATAATTGTGTCTGCAAAATGTGATTTATTGTCCCTATCCGTACATTAAACTGGATCTTGTGGAGAAGTTTGTTACCTTAATCTTAATTCAGAACTTAACAAAAATATGAGAAGATAACCCTAATCTCTGGTAGCTAACTTGAATCTCTTTTAGCTATTTGCAATTTTTTTGAATTGGTGTGGAGTGTAAATTTGCTAAGTTGATCATGTGATTAGAGGGTATAATTTTGGAGAAAGTTAGAAATTTTTAGTAGTAGTGTCTGTGTAGCCAAGAACCAAGAAGGAAAAAGAAGTTACATTAGGAGTTGATTTCATATAAAGGTGGTTATCGCCGGTATATACCACCTTGAAGAAAAGTTACATTAGGAGTTGCCTATATATTTAAAGCATTTTCAATTAGGATTTAGTTCATAGTTTACCAAAAAAAGAAGGTTTGGGTTAACTATGATAAACATGAACTGTGTAACTACAGGAATATGAAAATCTGAAGCTGTGAGTTTAACAAGCTATTCTGCCATTGTGCAGCTTTTGGAAGGTAGATTATTCGATTGTATTTTTTCCTCCTTTGTTTAATAGTTTTGACGTTTCAATGTTAAATAACATTAGTGACACATTTTCTGATGTTTTACAAATTTGTTGGAGTTAACGTCATTGTGATATGTGTTGTCAATTATATACTGAGCACTTGTCCTTTTTTTATCTTTTTTCTTTTCCTTTTATGATCATTGTGACTTGTATCCTCCATATATTGTAGAAACCTTTTTTTTTTTTTTTTTTGCTTGTTCTGTGAAACTTTGTTCTTCCCTTTTGGATGGAGTAATTTGTTCTCCTTGGAATAGCCCTTTTCATTCTTTCTTACATTCCTTCTTTCTTAAGTTCTGAATGAATGTGAAAATGCAGAATGTTTAGGTTGGGTGGATGATTAGAGGGTATACTTTAGTGGAATAATATTGAAAAAAATTCCCCTGGTAAGCTAAGCTTTAAAATATCATCTCAACTTAGAACAAGTTTCTCCTTCAAATGAACCTCATATTGAAAAAAGAAATTTCTTACTTATTTTTAAGGTTGTAACTAACTTATTTTTAAGGTTGTAACTAACTTGAATGAACCTCATATTGAAAAAAGAAATTTCTTACTTATTTGGATTTCCCCTTTCATTTTGAATTTTCTTTTGTTTTTCATTCAATATCAGATATATAGAGATGACCACGAGAAAAGAAATTCTCATTTGAACATGTACCATATTTATCTATACTCTAAGAAGCACGAACACGGATATGGGACACGGATACGACACGACACTTACACAGCGACATGGCAAATCCAAAAAAATTAGGATACGGACACGGCGAATAGTGTATATATATATATATATATAATGTAGTACTTTAAAAATTACTTAGTGTTACTAATTTTCATGAACTTCACAATAAAAAAAAAACACAAATCATAACTCATAACTAATAAACTATAAAAGAACAATGTTGTAGAATTATAAAACCAAATAAAAAATAAGACATTAGAATAATAACTAGCATCATTTAATCATCATTGCAATTTTACTCCAAATACAAAAGCATAGACAGAAAGGACTATTAACATTCATGACTTTACTGTTAGCACTTAACATTCACAAAAACCTAAAGGCTAGTCCCAAAAAAAAATACAAAAACAAGTCAGTGTACTATCATCTATTCACATCCATCATTTGACCTAGGACTTTTACCATTTACAATACCAAAAGGCTAGTACAAAAAAAAAAAAAAAAAAAAAAAAAAAAAAAAAAAAAGAACATATCAGCATTCAAAAAAAAAAAAATTTCCAGAAGTGTCCATGCCGTGTCTGTGTCCGTGTCTGCAGAGTGTCCGTGCCGTGTCCGTGCCGTGTCCGAAAATTCAAAAAAAATAAAAAATTCAGACACGTTTTTTGGCGTGTCCAACACGTGTCGGGGCGTGTCCGACGCGTATCCGACACGGATTCTTCGCCCATTTTGGAGTGTCCGTGCTTCCTAGTCTATACTTGTGACTATTGTGAAGTATCATATTGTTATTGCCTTCCATTACTTATTTATTTTTTTATGTCTACATTTCATATTGAGAATAAACATCTGTTAAAGTCCAAAAAAAAAAAAAAGTTATAATTTGGGCGATGACATTGGTGGAACATCTTGTCTTCATCTTTACTTGATGCTAGATATACCAACTTGCACCACTTACTTTGCTGTCAAATTCCGTGTTCAGATGCAAGGCTTTAATGTTTCATTGATTTGTCATGCATCTTGTTACTTCTCTCATCCATATCTCAATTTTGAGATGTAGGACTAGGTTTGTACTAACCTTGTCAGTACATGATAAAGTTAATTTCAAAGTTAGATAATATGCTTCCTCGCATCGTTTAACCATCTCTTAGTGCATGTGATATTCGGTGTGTATACCATTCTCCCAATGAAGTTTTCTTTTAACCCTTTTACCACTACTAAAACTTATGATAAACATATTCAGGCTTCTCCCTATTCCTCGCTCTGATGATAGATAGGCTACACCACTATATCAGAGAACTCAGAATGCGGAGGAAGAGCATGGAGACTGTAAAGAAACAAAACCGAGGTTTTGAGGATGGAAAAACTGGAGGTTTGGAAGAAATCAAAGCCTTGGAGGAAGAGATGATTGCATTGCGGGCGAAGGCAAAGGCGCTGGAGTCAGAACTCGAGGCCAAAACAAAGGAGGCAAACGAAGCAGAAGGTAATGCAGTTGCTCTGAAAAAGCAGTCTGAAGGGTTTCTACTTGAGTATGATCGTTTACTCGAGGACAATCAAAACCTCCATACCCAGTTGCAGTCATTGGATCAGAAATAGTCACTTTTTGGTAGCAAGAAGGTTATGTAAGAAAACCACACCTGTTGCAGCACACAGTCTCTATTACATTTTCCTTAGTATTATGTGTTTTTGTTGATCATAGTTTAGTTGTCATATCAATGCATGATTGCAAGGATTGAGAGAAGATGCGGGGGAGAAAACGAGAAAAATAGTAAAGGAACTAAAATTTGGGTTTATTACTTTGTAATGCTGAAAATTAATTAATATTGTCCAGAAGAATTGTGATATGATTGTTTTACAGTATATCTGTAATAAATGATTTTTTTCTGCTGTTTGACTTCTAATGAAGAGGCCTTTCATGATAGTGATAAATGGGCTATATAAGGATCAATAAATTGTGTGATGGAATTGATAGTAAACCTCCTCAAATTGCTTAACAGTTTATTTGGAATTTGACTGACTCTCTTGGTGCTCATTTATAGGACCTGGTGGGATTGCTCAAATTATGAGCATTGGACTGATAAGGATCCTTTGTTGTTCTGTGTTTGGGTTTCGTTATTTTATTTTGTTTACGTGTTTCTTTGCAGCCTTGCCTTTTGATGGCTACTGTCAACTTTTGGAAGAGGTGTTTCTTGTTGGCTTTGCTTGTGTTTTGGTGATCATATTATTTTACTCGGGGGAAAGAAAAAAAGATAGGCTGGATGGACTTAACGGATATACATATTCAGCCCAACATTCCTTATTGAGTGGCCTTGTCTTGGATTTCATTATGATGATGATATCTATCTGTATATCTCCCGCTCGAAACTTCTGATACAGATAAAGTGTTGAACTACATTTTGTAGATAACTCTGTAACCGTGGACTTTCAAGTTGTCCATGGGTTACGGTTGGGTTAAGGCTTGGAGTTCTATCGTGAATTTATCCGGATGAGCCTAATTTCATGAGGAAACTGCGGCATCTAGGCCGCGTCAATTCAATTTTTACATATGACGGTGTGTTCGTCCAATTTGACCCAAAGAAAACCTTTCTTGCTCTTTCATACCTTTGTTTCTAATGGTGACCCAATTTGCTTCTAGACAACAGGATGCACGTACAGACAATCACGGGATATTTTGCACCAGAAAACTCGAATTGGAGAGACTAGAGCATGTTGAACTAGGGTCGCTCTCATCTCCTTCATTTGAGTCTCAAAAGCCCAAGCTTGTGCTTCGCTTCCTTCCATTTCGCATTGACCTGGTCTTCCATTTGACTAGACAGGAGACCTACATATTGGATCTGATTAGAGGCTGGAGACGGTACATAATGGTATATTTAGAATGATAGACCGTCGTTTTAACCCATCTTTGGACTTCAATTATTTAGAGGGGCGGTGGAAACCGCATGCATAGACCCGGTGCCACCAGCTTACCATGATTGGATGAAGCATTTTGTCCCCCAATTACTTGGAAGCACCAAATAGTAGGTGGAACTATTTGTTTCCTTCTCCGAACTCAAGGATGCGGCTCATGGGAAACACTGGCCTAGCCCATTTGGAGGCGAAAGGTGAGGAGATTAGATGGTTTGCCAAATTTGTTCCTGTCTACTTGCATTGTAGGTGAAGTTCACCGGAGTCGTCAAACCCACGGGTACAAAATTGGTTAATGTGTTATTTACCGGGGTGGGGTAATCATGGTAGGGTTGGAATCTGAAATGAGCTACAAATACACATCCAAAGAACCAAGAGTCCATTAGATAAGGATCTTTAGATCGCAGGACCAAAAACACATGCACTGGGATCAAAATAACCATAAAGAGATTGTGTATCGTACCTCACGCTCACGTGGCTTCTAACAGAGATAAAAGAGAAAGTGGCATTCAATTCTACATGCCTCACCAGAAAGAAATACGAGGTAACCAACGAACAACTTTACATCCCTCACCCAGGTACCGGTGTTTCAGATAACAAGAACTAACAAGGTGAAAGATGTGGTCCACCAGAGATGATCTCATACCATTATACACACGGCACGGCATTTCTATGCACAATTTACATGAAGCAAACAGCAACTTTTGTTATGGTTCATTATATATTTGATAAAAAGGAAGGGAGTACTGAAATATTTACAAATAAACGTATTGTTATGGCAGAGACTGCAGCACCTTCTTAAACAGTATTTGTAAAAACATTCATAACAAGAAGCATATAGAGAAACACGGATTTAAGATCCCTACAGATAAAGTTCACTTATGCTGCTTCTGCAAATCCAAGATAAAGTTCACTTATGCTGCTTCTGCAAATCCAATCCTTAGATTGCCATAATCAAATACGGTGTGGTAGCGACCCATGAAGACATCTCCCAAGATCCTGCATCACAAATTTTTCGTTATTGATAATTGACATCATCACAGACAATCTTAATAAAACAAAACCAGAAAATATTATAGGGCAAGAGAGTACCAGAGAGGTCCACGAGGAGGAGGAATATCCAATGCAACAAAACCACTAATGCATTGTGCCGCGGCACCCTCACCCACCTTGAGTACATACTGATCACACAACCAGGGGAAAATGGCTTTAGTGTAATGACAACTAGTTTCAAACCTTTCCAAGCAACAAAATCATGCTTATGGAAAAAGTTAAAAGAAAGAGGGTGGAAATATGAAGACAACATAGGATTCTCTATCACCTCACTCGTCCAATATTTTTTTTTATACTTTCCTTGTTTCCAAATTAATGAATGCACAAGTTGCTTAACCATTTTTTTCTATATAAAAAACCAGTTGAGATGATTAAAAAAGGAAAAATCACGAAGGGCCTGAAATCAGGGGAATGCTCGAGAATCTACAGGAATCCTAATATAATTAAGAAACTAGAAGTTTGTACCTGCACCATCTATTGAACAGCAAAAGGGTAATACTGTACAATGTGGCAGTGCACAATCATGATCAACAGCAGTAAATAACCAACTAATACTAATTCTTTCAGGACTCAAATCTTATCTGAAGATGTTAAATAAAAGCACAACCTTGAAATAAAGGTAAGAAATTCTCTGGCATGATCTACTGTATTAGATAGGGACATTTGGACAGCAGTAATAATACCTGCTACTGAGCAAATGCTCAGTACATTGTCCTCAGTTCAATTTATCTAAACTAGAACCCAGAGGAAGTTGCACAAAAAAAGTAGCTACCCAACCTAATAAAGCTTCATAAACCTAGATGCCACCACTGAAGAAGAAGACACATACAGACTAAAAAACAATAGATTACTAAAAAAAGGCAAAATTTTAATTAGCACCATACCTCGTCGGGAGAGAGGTCAAAAACTTTGTCACCAATGGTAAAGGAAACACTAGGCATTGAAGACATGCTTCCACAGTCTACAGCTGATTCTCCCATCGGGCTAGGCAGTCGGTCACAAAGCTATAATTATACAAGAGAACTAAGATCAACATGACAAGCGACCTCATAAACATAAAAGAATTGAATCTACGATAAGTAATAACTACTTCACCTCATTGACATAGTTCAATATACGATCTTGTGTCTGATTCTGCCTAAGCTGGTTTTGCATCCACACAACAGTCATTTCACAAGCAGAGCACATAGCATCACTTAGACCAGCTGATTTGCCACCATTCTTCTCATCGACTACACTCTCAATGCCCATGCTATACAGAATACATACAGATCATAGTTAAAAATACGAATCTATTTCCTAACACCAATGATGCAGATGATAAAAGGAGCAGGTTTCCCATATAAAATGATAATTACAAGGAGGTAAAGGAGTAAACATCTTGGAAAAGTGACAGATAAGTTAATCACAAAAGAAAATAACACAATTCTTTGGAGCCTGACCTAACACCATGAGCTCCATCAAAAGTGCATATTCCAATTTGAGAGCATATCTTCTTTGGCGACGTCTGTTAAATATAGTTAAAAGCCAAAAGTCAGGACATTCTTGAATAATACAATACTAACATCGCACCTTCACCAGTTATTGAGTCGTAAAGATTTGATATGAAGCATCAAGATATAAAAATACAAGAGAAACAGCTAGTATTTACCTCTGATATAAGCAAGTCCATAATTGTTTGTCCGTACTGTTGGACTACTGCCTTGCATTCCTGGCTAACAACTCCACTGGCTCCAATGGCATGATTTATCATGGTGACCACTGTCTGCACATATGAAAGAGAGGGAAAGAAATTAAGAAACATATTAATTCACTAGAGAAGATTTTAATAGCATCAATATCACAACCCAAGTGATTTCCAATATTAGTTGACAATTTAAAAGTCGTCTGTCAATAAAACAAAAGAACTTGGGAATTAGCCATTGAAAGCAATAAAATGAAAGGACATATTTGAGAATCAGAAACACAAATAACCGGTAGGAGCAATTAACATGTCTCTCGATATTCGTATTGGCAAAATGGAAGCAACAGAGACTCCACTTTTTACAGCAATTTCAGCATAACAGTTTCCTTGGAAACTGATCTAACAGAACAACCAGATTATACAGCTAAAGATCATCCAACAATGTATTTGTTGACATGCTTTCAAACTAGTAAGTGAAACTATTCAAGATGCATCTCTCTAGTTTGAAACAGTTTATATTTTAATTTTTAACCAATTCCAACCATCCAAAAATCTTTCTCAAACTGAACCAAGACTAAATTGAAACCAACAGAGTAGAATAGAAAGCAGGAGGTGTGCTTCAAAAAATACATAAGAAAACTAAAACTAGTCTGCATGACAAACACTAAAATTAAAGGTTCTCTACAACAAAATTATCTATAATTGCGATGAAGCGATGATAGATCATATTCTCTTTCACAACTTGAAAGAAACCAGGGACCATTAACTAGCAAAAATAACCTATGAAAATACAACAAAAACTCAAAAATTGTAGTGAAATATGAGCCTAGATACAAACCGTGGGACCCGCTAGCAAAGAAGTTCCAGAATCAGCAATTGCGGAACACCCATCACCACAGTACCCTGAATAAAGAGAATGCTAATGTCAAACCACATGATACCACTAGCAACCAATTTTCACCATAAATGCAGGTTTTTTTTTCTTAGATATGGATTTGGTGAAGAGAAGAAGAGTTGTTAAGAACTGTACTGAACATAGAGAAGAAAGAAGAAGGATCGTACCAGTTGGTGTACCATCGATGACAACATCACCCATATCAAACTATCAACAAGATAATAATAAGAGTGAATAAAATTGAAAAAACAACTAAATTGCTGTAAAATAAAAAAAAAATAAAATAAAAAAAGTTTTATGATCAACCTGCCAATAGCCTTTCTGTGTAACTGGCACGTAGGTGTGCTCACCCTTGTAGTGGTTGGGATCAACTCCACCAAACACGATTTCACCACCTTCATCTTCCTCCGCATTTCGGTTGAGCCAAAATGAGAATACTGGATCGTTTATAAGACCTTGTTTGACCATGTTGTACCTGTGACATATCGCAACATTCATCTCAAAGGAAGAACTTTAATATTTTCTAGCATGTCATGATCATTATCAAACTAGTCCTCCAGTTACTAGAGTTGACGATTGTGTTTTAATTTCACACAACCAACCAAAAAATAAATTTTAAAAAAAGGCTACCTAAAGAATTCCCAAAACAAAAAATACATGGCAGTGCAAAATAAGACCTTGTTTGACCATGTTGTACCTGTGACATATCGCAACCCTTGTCTCAAAGAAAGAACTTTAAATATTTCCAGCCTGCCATGATCATTATCAACTAGTCCTCCAGACTAGTTACTAGAGTTGACAATTGTGTTTTAATTTCACCCGACCCACCCAATTAAAAAAAAAAAAAAAAAAAAAAAAAAAAAAAAAAAAAAAAAAAAAACTACCAAAATAATTCCCAAAACAAAAAATATATGGCAGTGCAATACATATTCTTGTTTGAATATACAAGAGCAATCTAGTCAAAGCTTGTGCACACATACCACACTGGGACAGCATTTCCAACTGAGATCTCACGAAATCCAAGTCCAAGTATACCATCAAACTTGGCCACCAAAAATGTGACACTAGGCTCTCTAGTTGCCTCGATGAATTCCTGAAAAGGATAAACAAATTAAGAAACCTATTATTCTAATTAAAATAATGGATCTAACACAATAGAAAAAATGCAAAATTTACCTGATTCTTTACAACTAGATCACCAACTTTGACACTGTCCTGACTAAAGAATCCAGAAATAGCTCCAGTACCATAGTGAATATCAGCAGATTTCCCTGCACGATAGATGGCACCATAAATCTCTTTTATCAAGAGCCCATGGTAAGTAATTACATAAAAGAATACATGATGTTGGGTCATAATTATGCTATATAACTATTATTAATTCATAACTTTTTACAGAGTGATTCTACCACCTTTAGTTTAATTGAACATAATCCTACCACAACTTTTTCTGGAAAGATAACCTAACAACTTTACATAGACAACAATTATGTAATAACAGTTCCATTAGTTACTTCTCCTCATCCCTAAAAATTTGCATTATAGATAATACAGCATGCACAACTTTCCAGTATAGACAAAACAATGCCGATTAAGACCACTGTAAAAAGGAAGGATGGGGGAAGTGCTTCAGTCAACCAATATCTATAGACAAAAACAAACAATTGAGATTTGCACAGAGATTCGAAGAGAAAGCTTCGCTGGCTTCTCTTTTACATAATTAATGATATTAAGGAGAATTGCAAGATAAAATTATCAGCCAACAGAATAACAGGTCTTGTAGAACCTGAAATGCATGACATGGAGGACGACCTAATTCCAAAATTCATCAGAATGTCGCAATACTGATAGATAGAGATAAGTACGGTGTAAGCACAAACGATAAAAATCTTGAAACCCCATTTTTATATCTTCCTCAAATAAGGAATGATTGCAGTTATGCTCGTTGACAACAGTTCCATGAATTTATTGATCATCTACTACTCTCATACATCCAATATCCCCGCCCAAAAAGACAAATGTAAAGAGAAAACGTCCAATCTAAGACACCAGTACGAATGCAAAATCTGACAATGTGGGTAGAGAACAATTTCTCCGTTGCACTTAAGCTACACAGTTAATGATTTACAAAAATTAAAAGTTCAATAGTCATGCCACACACAACATAGTAGAATACACCACATACAGCTGTGAAATTGCAAAAAACAACAGAAAATCTATTGCATCTGCATCTCAAAGAGGACAACACTCTATAATAAACCATATTTAGATAACTTAAATTCACAGATAATTTGAAATTAATAAGCAGAAAACAGATTCTTGATTCTTGCAACAATCAAGTTCCTAGGTACGTGTATTTAAGGTACACAGACTAAAATGTAAACAATAATATAATAGGGACAGTGAACAAACCATTCTTCTTGTAGGTACTTGATTGGCTTGACTTGTACTTGGAATGGAAATAGCATGCAACCTACACCAAAATGCATGGTGGTTGTGATATTATTTGTAGCCTCCAAATATTTTCCATTTAAAAGAAAATTACTTCATCTAATTTACTTCATCATATAACGCAGATGCGTAGAAACTTACAGAGAAATAGCACTTTGCTGACGGCACCCAGAGATTAGAGCTCCCTGTATCAAAGATTACAGTGAACTTTTGAGGGGGTGTCCCAACACCAATCTCACCAAAGTACTGAGCATCCATGTAATTCTTCAGCGCTACAATATCAGTATCTCCAGACTCCCCAAGATTACCTCGGAGATGATACTTCCTGATAGAAGCTCTTAAAGACTCCCCTTCCTTAGACTCAAGCTGGGCAGCAAGCCGGTTGTTTTGATCAAATTTCTTCTTTTTCAGTCCAATTCTTACTAACCCATCACTGGAGACAGAGAATGCCAGGGGAAACAAGAGGGATGACAAAAACAGAGACACTAGAACGGCTTTTGATTTGATACCCATTTTGACCTGTAAGTTCACCTCGTAAATTTAGTTAATGAAGAACAGTCAAACAATTTGGAATAAACACAAAATCAAACCATTAGAATGAAAAAATGCCAATAGCTGATTCAGAACTTCTACTTTGATAAGTTCATCTCGTAAATTTAGTTAATGAAGAACAGTCAAACAATTTGGAATAAACACAAAATCAAACCATTAGAATGAAAAAATGCCAATAGCTGATTCAGAACTTCTACTTTGACATTGTAAACTAAGGTAGTAGAAGCTCATATCATCTAAGCAATGAATAAAATTTGATCGTAAGTTGAACTTCTATGACACTATAGGACGTTAGTGCTGCTTTGGAAAAGTTTCAGTTGGGAAAAAATTATTGTTTCCTCAAGAAGTATTCGATGGAATAAGACAAACTTTCAACAAATTTCAAAGCCACCATTGGATTAATTGGAACCTCAAAGGCAAAATAAAAGAAAATACTCTACAAAAAAATTGCAGATACCTATTTCAATTTAAATATAGGGTGCTTAAACGAAACAAAATTTATACCATAATTTTGCTAGCTGATAAAAGGAGGAAAAGAATGGACGATCAATAATTGATTTTTTATTCTTCAAGTTGTTCATTTTTTCCCAACATGAAAATCATTATCAAGGAATTTCAGAAGTTGTATAAAGCTGGGCTGAGTGAATGTTCTTGTTTACAAACAAGATGAAATTATAAGATTTCAAGTTGCTAATTACTTCAATTTCTTCTTAACAGATCATCTAAACAGACCATAAGTTAAGGGGTGAAATCCCAATAGAGTATACAAAAACTAAACCATAATCAACTATCAAACAAATGATCAGATTTTCAATAGCCTAATAAGAAAAGCGAATACCCAAAAGTCAAACGCGATGTCATCGATACAATTATTAACCATAATCAGAAGGTAAAACCTAAGCCCTAGACAAGAAAAAAGAAATTGAAACAAAAACAATAGATCATCAAACAATTACAGATTCCAATTTGAAGAACACATAACCTATGGTCTCGGACTTGTGCAAAAACAAACCGAAACACTACAATTAAATAACATAAACACAATATCAATCCACAATTTCTGAGAATAGAAGAAGATAATCAACATATCTCACCGATATATCGATCGATAGATTCGTAGAACCGAGTAGAAAAGAGAAGAGGAAAGTAGACCTAAAAGATGACTATAGACACAAAATATAGTGTTCGCTTAGAGAGAGAAAGAAAGAGACAAAGAAACTACCTTTCACACCCGACACGCCAAAGCTCAGCTACCCGTCCTCGAGAGGGTAATCGAATATCTTGCGAGTTGTATTTATATGAGAGACTCAACAAAGTCTTTCAGATCCTGATCGTTAAATTTTCGGATGATTTCGATCTCAACCGTGGATTTTAATAAAAGGTCGCTTTCGCGAATAAAACTAAACAAAATCACATTATCAGGTGATTGGCTACTTCGCGGGCTAGAAGAAGGAGGACTGGTGCAAATCACAGCCGTACGAATTTTTGATGGACGGTGATTAGCATATAAAACAGAGGCAATTTAATGTGATGATAATGACGAATAAAGTGAGACCGAGAGAGAAATAGACACGAGAAGATTGTGGTGGCGCGTTACAACCAACTACTTACGTGTCAGTGAAGCATGCTCGTTGCTCAGCTTAGCACGCGACAGAACCATTCTTCTTATGGAAGTTTGTGCCAGCGGGGTTAATGCTTATTGTGGGGTTAGGTCCACGGTTAGGGAAGCACTTTGGGCGGCCCAACCCGAATCCAGCCCAAACTCAACCCAAGCTCTGCAAAATTTTGACAACCATTTCTACAAGGACTCTGTTATTAGCCTAATAGTATACTAGCCTACAAAGGCTATTTTGGTATACTAGGAATGAAAGAAAAAAAACATGATAAAATTAAGGGCTAGTTTGGTATAGTTAAATAAAATAAAGTAGGAATAAAATGAATAGAATGGAGTGAAAATGGTCCATTCTCATTCTCATATTTGGTTGCATAGAAAAATATCATAAAATTTATATATATATATATATATATATATGTATATATAGTCGACGTTTCATCAAATGTTTTTTTTTTTTTAAGTGTGAATGAAATAGTCATTCCTTAGTTAGAAAATGGAATAAATTAGTGGAAATCATCATTCTTGGAGAATGGGCAAGAATTATCATTCCAACTTTAAAATTAGTTACCAAACTAAAGAATGAAAACAAAAGTATTCTATTTCCGCTTTATTTGATTCCATTCACTTACACCAAATATGACATAATTATAAGAAAAAAAGAAAGAAAATGAAAAGAAATGATAGTGTTAACTTTCATTGCATTTGGTTGATTAATGAAGAAAAACAAAAAAAGAAAATGATAATAATCATATTTGGGATAGAAAGAGAAATAAACTATTTTACTAATTTACAACTATACCCTCTTATATTACAAATTTATATATTAAGCACGCAATTTATGAATATGATACCCATATACTTTTTTTCAAGTTAAAGTCAATTGCACATATAAACATAAACTATTTATTTTTTCATAACATTTATTAAAAAAAAAATTAAAATTTTGTAAAATATTCATTGTAAGCTCCTTTTAAGTTATCCACAACCTTAAGCAATCCTTTAAAAATTCAAGTATATCCATTTAATAAATGGAATACTCCTACCCAGTTGACCCTTTTGCCGTAAATCCAGGCATTCCAAAATGGGCACCCAATTTCATCTACAGACTTTTCAAGAAAGTTTAATATATTTATGTAAAGAAGACCAAATATCATTTAGTTGTTGCCAAAAATAATATTAAAAATAAATATCATCTATTTGTTAAGATTAGATACCGTTCTTCTCCAAACTCTAACTCAAAATAATAAAGACTATATATTAAGAAACCTATCTAACCTATTGAAAATAGAGAACATTATATATATATATATATATAGATATAGAGACCACCATTGAGACAATAGTGTTTGATTTACCTAAACATTAGGTTGTAAATTTTGGTGCCTTTCAGGAAATTCCACATTCACCAAAGTGAGTAAAACATGACTTAAGATTCAAGTGTAATTTTAATTTTATTTTAAGGATAAATTTGGTATTATAAAAATTACATTAGCCTCTCCCTCCGTTTCCTCCCAATTTTGGAAGGATAGCAAAAGTTACCTTTTAAGCTCTACTCCCTCCTTCCAAATTCCAAAACCTTCCATTCCCTTTTCTTTCTTTCCAACCTTTTATTCCACACACAATTTTTTATTCCTCTCCATTACCTTTCTTTTCTTTTCCTCTCATTTCCACCAAACTGGGCCTAAAAGTTGGAGTAAGACTCATCAATGGCACTTCAGGCCATCAATGGCCTCGGTGTATTCGATGCTTGGGTTAGGCACATTGGCTTGACCATCAGTTTTCTTAGGTTGAACTTAGGTTGAAAATTCTTAACCTCAAATATAGTTTGGAACCCAACATGAACCCGAATTTTAATATTATTTTTATACACATTATGATTCACTTTTTCTTTTCTTTTTCAATTTTCTTTGTTTAGATTTTAATTTATTGCATGTTAATACTTTGAAAATTTATTTTCTTAAGAATTTGCTTGTAATTTTTTATAAATTCGTTTTTTTTTTTTTTTTTTTTAAATGTACTTAGGTCACTTTAATTTTTTAAGTGGAGAATATATATATATATTTTTTCTTCTTAGTTAGTACTCACACACACATGCCTTAACTGAGACTTGAACCCTTGATCTACCTTTGGGAAGTAGGATCTGGTACTGTTAGGCCACTGACCTGATTTTTTTTAAAAAAAATGTGCTTAGGTCACTTAAATTTTTTAAGTGGAAATTGGTTATATAGAAGCTAAATTAAATCGATTTTTCTAATCTGAATTTTTAACTTGAGTATAAAAATTCAAGGATAGGGTGTGATGGGATTGCGTAGTTAGGGTTGTGTTAAAGTCAGACATTTCATATGTCAATTTGGCCCTAACTTGTACCTCCAAGCCACCTAAGTAGTAACTTAGAGTCCTAGTCTATGGCAGGGACGGACCCAAAATATAAGATCGCCGCGTCGGGGGGTGTCAATAGTAATATTTTAAAGTATATAGTTGAAAAAGAGTAAATTAGTAGGATGGGGGGCGGGGGGGCGATAATGAAATCTTTTAGTAATTTCAAGGATGTCAATAGTAATATTTTAAAGTATATAATTGAAAAAGAGTAAATTAGTAGGATATAATAATAATAATAATTAATAATAATAATAATAATAAATCAGGGGGGCAATTCCCCCCTTCATGTCAATGTAGGTCCGTCCATTGTGCATTTGGATTTTAAAAGACTAAAGTGGTTTCGGTTGAACAGGTGGGATATGTGTTGTATTCTATAGAACGGTTTATAACCATTACAAGTGTATTGACTTGACTGTATTATTATGGTGCAATTTGTACTATAGAGGATCTAAACTTTGCTTCAATTAACCTTAAATTTTATGATGGTGGTAAATAATGTTAGATTACATAAATTTTATGATGGTGATAAATAATGTTAGATTACATAAATTTTATGATGGTGATAAATAATGTTAGATTACATTACGATGTCGAACTATGCACCATTTCCGTCATAAGATAGTCACATTCTGACCTTTAAGTTTGAGATCAATTTTTATGATGACATGTTTGACTTTAAATAATAAATATACAATCTATGTTTTTACCGTCACCACACTAGCAACTTAATTGAATACAACGATGAGCGCGTATCCAACGATGGATTCCTTGTGAGACCAAGTATCTTGCAACATGTTCATCTCTCGTATTTTAAGGAAGAAGTGTGAGGTCTTTTTCAATTGGCGTGGTTGTTTTGGTGTTATGGCTGCTACATTTGTAGGCCGGTTTGCAACTTTAGCTCAATTATCTTTGGGCTTTATACGATCCAGTCCCAGCACACATCAACAGTAAATGGCAATCAAGCCCAGCCAAATTTTGTTTTTCAGTAACGTGGTCTAGATTAGTTAGTTGGGTTGGCTTTGTTGGCTGATGGTCTGATGGACTCAATTTGGGCCTGAAGCCCAAACTTAGGTCTAGTTGTGTGATTCTCCCAATCCAAACAGAAGGGTCAATCTTACAAGTTACAAGTTACAACTAATAGAAAAGTTCGTCCCAAGTGGTCTATCTATTCACATTCAAGCACGTGATGGTAAAAAAGTCCTTGTTAACATGGTCGTGCGGTAGTTGAGGTACGGTGCGGCTTCACCGTCCCACGTTTGGTTTTGTCAAATATTATAAGCACATGACTTGTAGTCACAAGTTGACAGCAAAGTGTTATTGAAGTCATTAAATTCAAATTTTCCACATTACAAAGGCAGCTTGTAAACTCTAATTAACCAGGAACTAGGAAACTACTAGTCTACTACACTCTAATTATAAGTTTCTATTTACTATGTACGTACGTATATAAGCAACAATCAGTCTCCAAAAAATAGCTGTCTAGGTTTCAATTGAATCCATTAAGTCGGGAAAGTCCCCTTCGGCCATGTAGATTTCACTTGACTGCATCAAGCTAGCAAGGCCTATTGGCTCTCCTTTCAGCCCTCCAAATTTGGAGAAAAAATGATTATTATCCGTATATACATACATGGATATAGGGTGACGCAATTAAGCTTGTCAAAGTATAGGATTAAATGTAAATTTTTCATAATTGTAACTTAAGTGAATTTTAGGCACTGCATGGAATTAATTTGGTCATGTTAGCATGGCCTATTTTAAAACAAAAAATTCTAAAGTCAGACAATATAAATGGAGAGTTTAATTTAATTATTTTTTACAAACCAAATGGCTACGGATACCCCTATCATTTTCACATATATAAATGTGATATAATCAGAATGCATGTACATATTCAACTCAACTTGTATATCTGTGATTACATACATACAAAAAATAATTTTCGCTGTAATATAATTTTTTCTCCTTATTTGTCTACTGGTTGAGGTTTATCCAGTTCACCAGCCATTTCCGGGTCAAACAAGAATATATATGGCCGAAGTTCTTGACTAATAAAACGAAAATTTACCTCCAAATTGTGCGTCTCTTCCTCTCTCTCTCTCTTTCTTTTCCTTTTTTTTCATCTTAATCTTATTTTGTTGTTTCAGGGGCTGCATTTCAATTCTCTCTCTTGTGATTTAAGAGATCGACATGCAGCTCTTATAAACTCTCTATGTTTCTGAGACTAAAAATGAAAGAAAAAATAAAAGTGATATACAATTATATTAAATAAGTAAACCAATAAAAAAGGTAATGCACTGTGTCTATTTTTCTTTTTTCGTGTATTTACTGAAAATTTGAACAAGAACATTCAAGTGAAACAAAAAAAAAATTATTTTGTGTTCTAAACATTCCTATGTAATTACCACTAAAGGAAAAGGAACAAAAAAAAGAACACGGAATCTCATCCTCACCCACAATGTCGAAGAAACCAAAAACAACTGACAGCATGTTAAAAAGGATAACACGCAACAAAGAAAAAGATTAATTAGATATATGGTTCAATTCTCCAAAAAGCTGCGCGCTAGTACGTTACGTCTTGTTGTTGTTGTTGCTTGTGATGTTGGTGGTACTGTTAGTGGTTGTGGTGTCGACGTTGTTACCGACATTGTTGTTGTTTGAATTGGCACCACCAATGATGGAGGTGATGGCGGCTGCAAGAGCTGCAGTGAAGTTGGGGTCGGCAGTGATAGCGGCAGTGGCTGCACTCACGGAGAGGCGTTGTGCTTGCAACAAATGTGTTGATGGAGCTAACTGGGCCGACCCCATGTCAAGAGGCATATGAAGTCCAGAGAATTTGGATTGGTTGTAGAGGGCTTGGCCTAGTACTTGAGGCAGTTGTGGAGTTGAAAAGGGTAGTTGAAATTGGTTAGGAGATTTTTCCAACTGTAATGGGTTTGGACTCTGGGTAAGGTCTAATGTCACAGTTGGAAATGGTGCTGAAGCTGAAATTGTTGCCATGCTTGACGAGCAAGGGAGGACTGCTCTGGCTAGGAAATTTGGGTTCATTAGCCCTTCTGCGCTTGACATGGACCCCGAGAGCAGCATAGTTGCAGCTGCTGAGGTGGTTGACGCCATGGCCATGGCAGCTGGTGGGAGTGGATGATTATGGGTACCTTCATAAGTTGTTATTAGGATTGTTCGGTCATCGGCACATCTTTGAACCTGCAATGATCGAATTGCCATAATTCATATTAGTCTTAGCTATAACATACTTGATTAAGAATATAAAAGACCCAAATTAATAAAGAATGGGGACTAAGGGGATGTTAGGTCTTAAAACTCTCTCTAAAAACTGCCTTACCTTAATAAAGTTTTCAGAAAATTGTTCTAATAAACGATTCACTAAATAAGTTTTTGAACAATTTTCTAATTTTTTAGTTATTAAAAAACAGAAAACTGTTTTAAAAAAACTAAACAAAGCAGACAAAATTAATGAAAGAGGAAATTAAGGAACATACTTGTTTGCGAACTGGACAACCAACTGCCATGGTGCACCTATAATAAGCTCGAGGACATGGGTTACCTTTTGCCATCTTTTGTCCATATTTTCGCCATTGGCATCCATCAGTGATCTATGAATAATAACATCATATTATTATTTTTCTATAATTGGGATTAGATTTGATTTAAGTTTCAAACAAAAGCCGAAGACTAAAGTATTACCATGGGTGCTTCTGACCGGGCTCGAACTGAGACACGCGCTTTCCTCATGGTAGTAGCCTCCGTTGGTTGACTGATGGTGTTAGAAGTACTAGTGTTCAATTTGGGTACCTTATTAGGGACCCAACTTTCCGATTCCAGGCTGTCTTCTCGACAGATTACTTTTCCATCCCTGCCATTGGCCTTGACCTGAAGTGACCCTGATTGATCAACCGTTCTTTCTTCTGATGAAGAATGAGATGTTTGGTCGACCGTTTGAATTGTTGCACTAGGGCCTAAATCCAAAAACTGTCTTGCCATCATTGCTCCTCCAGCTTCATGTTTCTTATCTTCTGATTTTCCTTCTACCATCTAAATATATTCATAGAAAATCTAATATTAAGATACTTATTTGAATCAAAACCACCACATGCAAATCGGAAATTAGAGAACGTAACCAAAGTGAATTAAATTAAATTAAGTAATTACCTCAAGTCCATGTTTATTTTCGGCTCTCAAACTTTTCTGCTGTTGCGTCAATGTCACGAAATGCGTCTGTAGGGTACTGTAATTGTTGCTAACTTCACTAAGTATCTCTCTCAACCTCTGATTTTCGGCATTCATACTTTCAAGCTCAACGTGCATTTGTGCCAGCTGAAATATATATGATCAGTAAATATATATACACGCACATACATGTTTGTAATATTTATGATTGAACAATAACAATTAATTGTGATATTCTTACCTTAGTACTTTTAGCTCGCTTTTCTTCTGCATCCGATGATATGGATTGATCACTTCTAGCGTTAGCAGTAAGAAGGTGCAAACCAGTCTGAATATACATAAAAATATCCAATAAACAATAAAATTCAGAAGCTAGGAAGATCGATAAAAAATACAAACAAATGAAGGAAAATAAATGTAAAATCATAATAATTCAGCTGAGACGCTTACATTTACATCGAAGCTATTCTTTGGAGCGCCTTCTTTGACATCTGAATTTTCCCTCTTGACACTAATAGTACTAGTGGTCTCATTGATCTTATTCTTATCTGAAAAGAAGTCAACTTCATCCACGACCATCCGATTCTCATCAGAGGATAAGGAAGTAGCTTGGTCTTCCCTGTAGTTAAGATTCATCGGGAATTGGATACCGGAAAGCAATTTGGTCTGTTTCAACCTTGGTGTTAAACTGAGAGTGGCCTGCTTGTTTACGAAGAAACTATTTGGATCAGAATCGAGAGTCAGACCCCATCCCTTGTCCATATAATCAACAATCAACTATTGGAGAGGTGTATATCTGTTTAGAGAGAGAAAGAGATACAAAATGTAGAGAGAGAGAGGGGTGAAGTCTGAAGTCTTTCATAGGTGCAATGGGCACGGCTATAAGAAGGGTTGGGAACGTAGACTGAAAATTGGATTGTGGTGAGAAAGCGAAGGGATGTTGTTTGGAAGTAACGTAAGATGGTGCGTCACGGGTTGACAGGTGGCGGTGGGACCCGGTGGGGAAGAGTTTTTCTTCTGTATTTCGTCAAGACTGAGTTTGACTCGTTCATGCTTCAGAACCAATCAGACGGTAGACAATAAAAAATTAAGGGAAACCAACCGTCCCGAGCAGTGCGGCGCGTTCCACGTGATGAAAATGAAGAGGTTAGAGAAAGAGAAAGTCAACGAATTTGACGGCCCAGCTACACTGGGTGAGATTAACATCGACATGTGATTTAACCCAGTTTTTTTTTTTTTGTAGATGTGGCTCACACCGTGTCACAATTAGCTATGTATACGGGGATGAACCAAGTATTGACTAATTTGGATCACAACCGATGCAGGTGGATCGAGTCAGTCCCATTGAACTTTTCACAATACCTTTCAAATCATTATTATTATGATTATTATTTTTGTTATTGACTATATATATATATATATATATATATATATATATATATATATATATATATCGGTCACATATTCACTTTGTTCATTTGAAGATTCAAACATTTATCTTTCATTTTGGGACAAGGTCCTTATCCAATTTATTAGCGAAATGGTAAAAATTTATAAAAAGAAATGGTATGTAACAATTTCTTTTTTTTTTTTTTAATTTTTTATTTGAGTAGAGACGACCACATCCATAGTATGCACGGGATAATTATCCCAAAAAAAAAACAAAAAATTCTCTCAAAGTAATTTCAAGAAAATACAAACTCCTTTATCTTCAAGAAAAGTAAGTGGTGGAAATTTTAACCATCCCTAGAATATAACAAAATTTTTCCTTCTGAATCATTTTTTATTTTTATTTTTTTCCTCTCTTGATCATTTTTAAATTTTAGCTAAATATAATATACTTTTACTCTGTCTCTCTGTTTTTTTTTTTTTTTTTTGAACTCACACAGATTATTAAATTCTTTTGAAGAAAGTGATCAAATGGTGCACTTTAGTCAAATTGGTTATACATAAATATATTTATATCTTAAGATTCAATACATTCATAAAATTCAACTAGCTTACTGTTTAAAATATTTATCATTCTCCTTGCTAGCTGACCAAGTGCCTAACGACTCTTGGGTCAAATTGACGGTTGGTTGCTTTAATTTGGGTGTTGGTGGTGGCGGTATTCTTTCATTTTGTTTGCCTCCACACACTTTCTTTAAATTGTAAGCCAATTTTCTACATCAAGTGACATACCTTTCTCAACTTCCTGCAATTTTAAGTATTGAATTTTCTGCCCAATTGACATTTCCTTCGTTATTTGTTATTTGGAACAAAAAGATAATATTTGTTTTGTATTCATCTAGAAAAAACTGGTTCATACCTTCTTTTCTTTCAAACAATATCTCAACTGGGACAAATCTTTTCTTCAAACGAGAGATTGAGTGTTCGAGCCTCCTAGAAGGCACGTGTATATACATATTTACTTAACTTTTAAAAAATAATAATAATAATACTTATATTCTATCTCATATGTGAAGATGAACCTTCTCTTTACGGCTGGTATGAAATGAAATAATATCATTGAATTATATGTTTTTTTTATGAAATTAAAAAGTAAATAAATAAATAAACTTACAAGTTTATGTCGGTCAAATTAATTCTAAATTTACTAACGATTTAACCATATCACAACTCACAAGTTCGATTATACATATCAAAGATGTTGTTACTCACACGTCAAGAGAAAACTATTATTCTTTCTTTACCATGACGAGATGGAGGCTGAGATTCTTGTTTCAAAGAAACTTCAACACAAACTACACACATTGGAACAACTTTTGAAATGGGGTCCTAACTAGAACTTTGGATTGGATATAAAGATGCTATTCAATTCATGAAGTATACTTTTGACTAGTCCAATTATGAAACGGATATAATCAATCCATCGTATAATTTTCTAAAGTTTAGCATTAACTAATGGGTTGGACTTAGATGCAGAGAAAACTAATTCTTCTCTATACCATTGTCTTAATTAGAAATTTAGAGACGGAAAAGAGGATGATCAATAAGAAATGAATTAAAGAACTTTCTGTTCAAACATACAGCACAAATCTAGGAAAAAGGAAGTGCAAAACAACAGGTTTCAAATGTGGTTCAAACAAAGTTTCTGTAAACTTATTACTTAGCTGTCTTTGATTGAAACCAGGGCAATATTGATACTAATGTGGCTTACCAAACTAAAAGACTTATTAATTTTATACTGCAAATCCGGAAGAAGAAAAAGTGTAAGGAAAAGTTCTTCAGTCTTTTTCCTTCATTAATTAGTGAATAATGTTAACATTTCTTTGTATTTGAATTGTTGCTAAATTAAATAAAAAACACAAAAAAAGGTGTCACACACACACATTACAAGAATACTTAAATTTTTACTTGGTTCAATAACAATTAGGACTATGTTCAAGATTGTAGAGATTTCATTATGATAATCAAAACGGCACAAATACTGAAAATTCGGAATGAATAAATACCCTCGCACTAGAACAATATATATAACAAGTAGGGTAATATAACAAGTGCAAAAATTACAAAAAATGCATTACAAAAATTTTAGATTGAGAGCAAGTCCCTGAATCTCCACATTCGGGCAGGAGGGCTCTGGCATCTGGCAACCTTCACCAACTTATCACAAAGTTAGACTTTGATATACGATATTTATCAAGCTCTACCCTACCATCATGTATAACTTAAGGAAGAAAAGGAAATGCGAAAACAGTAACAATCTTTCATAAATACGAAAAAAAAAAAAAAAAAAAAAGAAAGAAGTAAAAGATTGTTTTAATTTATGACCTCTAAGGACAAACAAGATTATTCTTGTCATAAGAAAATACATAACATTTTTCTATGTCTTGAAAGTCTTCAATTTTTGTAGTCGGTGGATGTGGGTATTGTAACATTCACTTTTCTTTTTTGGTTCCAACATTCAGCATCATATTTCATAGAAGACTCAGTTTCCTGTGTCACCGTCCTATTTGTATATACTCTTTCTTCTGTATTCAGAAATCAAATAATATACCAAAGTAGCCAATGTCTCCGCATCCATTCAGGCCTACTTTTTTTATTCCTAAAATAAAAGTTCATTAATAAACACTCTATTTACATATTAAATTTAATTGCTCCTACGTCTAATCCTTTTTAAAATTCGTAATGAAAGAAGACTGTACGCTAAAGAAGACTGTACGCTAAGTTCGGTCTTAACATTTCTATCAACTTTCATCCATTTCATAGTATCATTAATAAAAATTAATGGTTTGAACATTGTTAACTCATGAATTGTTTAACCTTTAAAAAAAAAAATTATTATTGTTATTAATACTGTCAATTCATGAAACGTGGAAGTATTAAAAACCACACGGCCAATAAAATGGTTTTATTTCATACTATAATAAGTTCAAGTTTGGAAGACAAGGAAGTCAACTGAGATTTCCGTTGACCAGGAACTTGTACCCACGTGGCTACCTTCCATTACATAGAAAACAGGTGTTTGATTATGTTGGACTCTTAAGGATAAAAGAAAAAAGGCAGGCTAATTTTGGAAGAGCATTTGAGGGTTATTGGGAGTTTGGGACACTTTGGGTGCAAGTTGATGGAATATAATCATCCGATTTAGCATTCACACTATTGGCAAGTAGGAGATTTGTTTCTCATGGCAAATAATTGTGTTTTTTTGTTTTTTTTTGTTTTATGCAAATAATTGTGTTTTTTTGTTTTTTTTTTTTTTTTATGCAAATAATTGTGTTTCTTAAGACAAACTAGGCTTGCACATGTTTCTCGGCATGGTATTGAAAAATGGCATCAATTTATAAGCACAGCCGCCGATTGTAATTTATTTAGATATTAAATTGGGCAATTAAAGAATTGATCTGTTGAAGAATGAGCTTGTGGTTGACCAGGAGTCTCTGGTCGTCACCGGAGATGTCAACACCGGTCTGGTTCTCGTCGACGTCGTTAATGGCTTCTGTATCGTCGGTGCTGGACATTTGGTATATATTTCTAATCTGGTTTTATATATTTTATCCTATCCTGTCATATAATATATAAAAAACACACACATATGAATATATTCTTTCTGTTATGTCCAGTTTCAATCGATCACACACCATTCAGACCCGATCCTGTTTTATAATACATATTTGTGTGTGTATATATATTTATATTTATACGTTTTATTATATAATAATATACTTTTTTTTTTTTTTTTTTGGTAATTCATGTTTGTTTGTTCCTTTTAGTGATTTGTCATTTAGTTTTGGACATATGTTCGGAGATTTATTTTATTTTATTTTTGTCCTTTTAGTTTTACCCTCTGTTTGGTTGCTAGGAAAGGGAAAGCAGATGATTATTGTCTATGATATTAAAATATAATATAATTCTGAATTTTGATTTATGTTTTCTTTCTCCTAACTTTCCTCTATTAATGATTTTGTTGTTAACTAATGTTTTGTTTCTTAAATGAAAAACAGTGGAAGATAAAAGAAATTAAAAATCTTTTAATGTGAGCATTTTTCACCACTTGAAATCCAATAGAATAAATTTCCACTCAACTGAGCCCAATTTAACTACTAAGCTTTCTCTAGAAACATAATGTTTATTTGCAAATTGTTTTCTTTCCTTCAATTTTTTAATTCTTCAACAATTCTTCTCTATACCATTGTCTTAATTAGAAATTTAGAGACAGAAAAGAGGATGATCAATAAGAAATGAATTAAAGAACTTTCTGTTCAAACATACAGCACAAATCTAGGAAAAAGGAAGTGCAAAACAACAGGTTTCAAACGTGGTTCAAACAAAGTTTCTGTAAACTTATTACTTAGCTGTCTTTGATTGAAACCAGGGCAATATTGATACTAATGTGGCTTACCAAACTA